GCGCGTGCACATTGTGCGATGCACCTCATCTGACGCATCGCTGCGCAATCTTCGCCACATGCTCACGCCCGCCCCGGTCAAACCAACTGCCCTGGTCGAGTGGGAGCAAATCCTAGGACCCGTGCACTGGTCCAAACTGCGCCGCAACATGATGACCAATCTTGTCCCGCGCAACCGTGCCGGCCTCATCTGGCGCATCGCCCACAACACCGAGTACCTGGGTGAGATTCGTCTGCTGTCTCGCCGCGACAAGCTCACCAACGAACAACTCCGCGAGGAGTCACACAGTTGCATGCAATTCCTCCACCTGAGCGCCACGGTTGAGATGAGGCAAAAGAGCTGCACGATTGGCCGCGTCGCCGACATCCATCCGAGGGTGGAAACCATACGCAGCTTTGAATGGCGACATCTTGATGGCTGTGTGCACAGTGTTGTTGTACACGAACTCGCACGAGGCCAAGTGCTCCACCCACTGCTGGTCGTGCGAAATGTACGCGCGCAGATAGGTTTCAACATTGGCATTGGCTCGCTCAACCAGACCATTGCCAGCGGCATGATACGCGCTGCTCAGCGCCAGCTCCACACCAAGGCCTCGCCAGTAGTCACGCCATGCTTTGGCTGCGAACTGGGGCCCACGGTCACTGAGAATGCGGTCAGGCAGGCCATGATGGCGAACCACATTGTCAAAAAATAAACTTGCAGTTGCTCGCGCTGTAACCGCTTTGACCGAAGGAATCAGGTGAATCATGCGAGTCAGCCGATCTTTGCAGACCAGGTGCGCATCAAAACCTTGGTCCGGTGGCAAATCAGTGATAAAATCCACCGCCCAGTCACCAAACGGTCGCTTGGGAGCGGGGATTGGCATCAGCAGTCCGTACGGCGCATGCCGCGGGACCTTGACACGTTGGCACATGTCACACGTAGCCACATAGTGAATCACATAGGCGCGCAGGCCTGGCCAGGCAAAGTCGCGACGAACCAGCTCAAGCGTTTTCAGTTCGCCGCCATGACCAGCCAACTCTGCGTCGTGTCGCATGAAGAGGACAGTGGACCTCATGCTTTCCGGGACATACAGTCGGCCATCCTTTCGCAGCAGGCCGTCAGCCAAGACATAGCGCGAGTGTGGGGCCGCAGCCAACAGCGATGCTTGCGCATCCACAGCAGTCTCGAGACGAACTTTCCCAACCAAGTCGGTTGGAAGTTCGCTCGCACTGTGATTAGCTGCTGGGGTGTCCGGAGCTGCTACTCCAGCATCGGCGGTTGCTAATGCGTCGTCGTGATCATGCGTGGCCGGCGAACTCGGGATTATGTGCGTTTGCGGCGCAAATGTCACTCGAGGGGCACGGGCACGCTCAGGCGCCGCACCAGCACCCTGGGTAGCATCACCGACCGCTTGCGCACGTGTGACAGGGGCAGCGATCTTGGTGAAAAGGCTGGGAGGCAGGATGGGCTCGAGGCGAGTGGGTTGTGGAGTCGCACCACTTCCCGTCCTCGACAAAGCATCCGCCGCTCCATTACGCGAGCCATCGATATGGAGGATCACGAAATCGAAGCGACCAAGCCTTTCCTTCCAATTGGTCTCGCGGGAACTGAGCTCTTTCGCAAACGAGAATTCACGCAAATTGCGATGGTCCGAGTGCACTGTCGTCTGCTGTCGACTGCTCCACAGGTAGTGGCGCCAGGTCTCCAAGCACTCCACAATGGCAAGGAGCTCCTGCTCACCGACTTTGTAGCGAGTCTCGGCAGGACGGAGAGTGCGAGAGTAATAGGCAACCATACATCTCTCGCCTTTCGCATTGCGCTGCATCAGCACACCACCAATCGCGACATTAGAAGCATCAGCGTATACTTCATAAGGTCGTGAATGGTCCGGGAAGGCCAAAACCGGAGCCTCGCAGAATTTGCGCTTCAGCAGCTGAAAAGCCGCTTCACGCTCAGGTGTCCACACAAATGGCGTGTTCTTGCCCAACAGCGATGTCAGGGGTCGAACAATTTCAGCAAAATGCCAAATGTGACGGCGAACAAAATTTGCAAAGCCAAGCAATTCTTGCACGCCTTTCACATTTGTCGGTGCTGGCCACTTGGTGATGGCAGCAATCTTGGTCGGGTCAACCGCAATGCCCTCAGGCGAGACCTCAAAGCCCAAGAACGTGACCTTGTCGACATGGAACGTGCACTTGTTGATCGACAGGAACAATTGGTGCTCTTGAAGAATGCGGAGCAGAGCGCGAACATGCTCGATGTGCTCCTCCTCGCTTTCGGAAAAAACGATCAAGTCATCAAAGTAGCCACCAGCGAAGTCCTCGAGTGGCCGTAGCACTGAATCCATAAAACGCTGGAAGACGGCGGGTGCGTTGACCAGTCCAAAAGGCATCACTCGCGACTGAAA